TTCTTGCTCTTTTCATTAGTTTAAAAATAATTCAGAAGCTCTTCTGCTTCTGCAGGTTCATTTCTCTGTGGTCTTTTTGTGGTCTTTTTATTAATTGATGTCAGCCAGGTGATTTTCATCTGCCATCATTCTCCCATCTGCCTGCATGGCCTTCTTTGCAAGTCTTGTCTTAATATTATTAATTTTTTGATGTGATTTTTGATGTCCTCCAAATCCAACTGCTAAATGAGTGAGATGGTGTTTCCAACATTGTCCTAGTGGTTATAGATGTAATTAATTCACAGTTGTCTCAAGGAATGTTAATAACATCATGTAGCATTTTTGTCTATATTTTTATAACAAAAATCAAAATTCAATTTTTCCTATCCACCACTCACCATCAACTCTCAGGCACGACAGTCTGTTTATTGTATGAGCTGGAACAGCTTTGAAGTAGAGGGTTATTTTTTTTCAAGACAGGAATATTAAAATATTTCATGTATTTGAAAATTCTCCTGCTAAACAGAAAGAATATTTTCAAAGTACGCACTTAAAATGGAAGCATTGAGAACATTTGTTTGCAGTGGTAAATCTTGATAGATTTTTCCTTTTCTCTGTCAGCTGTAATGATGTTATAGATGTGTATTAGGGAAAGCACATTATTTTCTGTTGAATTGTGTGAGTCAAAATAGATTTCTCTCTTTTCTCATCAAAGAATATCTTGACTAATTTTCTTAGGCAATATTTTATAGAAGAGGTTTAGCTTTGAACTCTTTTCCATGAATTTTTTCTCCTCAGCTGAGAGCTTTACCTCTGTTTGCATTGCAGAAAGTGTGAGAATGAAATTTCATTCCTTTCACCTGTCATAGATGAACATTTTTAGGCTGTTCTTCATTGCAGTAAGAGGAGAAAAATAGTAGCTCACATTTCCATCGAGGATGCTAATCTTTTCAGATGTTGGCTTTGAAAAGGCCCAGACTGAGTCACCCAGGCCACTTTTTCATAATTACTCCCCTTGATGTGCTGCATTGATGTGCTGCATTTATGTTCTGCTTCAGTAGCCTGCACTGGAGGGGATCAGAATTATTGGACTGTAATGTCAGCTGGGGGTGAGTGGGTTGGAGACAAAGAGGCCACTCACCCTGATGTCCATGTGGCACCAGAGAGCGTTCATTCTCCAGCCCTTCCTTAGAAAAGGCATTTGAAAAACCTGGTCTGGAAACTTTCATTGGCCTGGTCTCTAAGGCCCTTCAGGCTCTGGCCAGTGAAATGCTGCAGCCCTGGGAGAGCTGAGACTGGGCAAGGCCCTGTCAGCTGGACCAGGTTAGTTAGCCTGGCACAAACCAGCCTGTACGTGGCAACATTGGACATTTGTGAAAAGTTGTGCCTAAACACCTACTACAGTGTCCAAGAAAAGTTGTTCACAGCATTTTAATGTGGAGGGGGGGAAAGGGAAGTGACTTAACTGTGAGTTCAAAAATCATGAGGAGCAGTCCCTGAATAAGCATCATCTTCTGAAGCCATTGCTTCCCCTCCCATGATGAACTGTGGAATTATCACCTTTAGGAACTAAATGTAAATATCTCTCTTTTTCCTTTCTACTAACTTGTGATTCCCACCTGTGCCTAGCTGAATGTTTTATCCTTCTTGTCCTGGCTGTTCTGCTGGGCAGAATGATGGCATTTCCATTATATTCCCAATCTTCCTCAGCCCCATGATTTCAATTCAAGTGCTTTTGTTTTTCCATGTCAGAGAACTACAGGACTATGCAGCTTTTTTGCAGGTGAAATTTGCCTTACCCACAAGAATTCCTCATAAAGTACACATTTCAATTAAAGTTTCTGCTTCCTTATCTTAAGAAGGGAAAAAGACCCTAAGAGGAACAGGTAATTCTGCTACAGATCCACTATATCCTTAAAAATTATCTACTTTTCACTGTGAAAAAACTTCCCCAGCAGAGCAGCATAGACATATAAATAACTATCTTCTAAATTTTCTATCAATGAATATTGTTTTCTGTCATCACAATTGCACCATGAAATATGAAAGTTCAATTTCCTCTTCATTTCCTTTTAATAAAACTTCTGCTCATTTCATTTTTGAAGAGATTGGATCTAAATTACTTTGACTTCTTCTGGCCCAACTTTGGTGAATGTTTCAAGAGAGAATCTGAAACCCTTTTAAAACCCACCAAAGAGATCAAGGGCTGTGTTCTGGGGATTTAGTACTCACATTCTCATCTCTCTTTCAATACAAGTCTTTTGCATTTAGAAGTGGCAGTATTGATTCCAGGACATGGTTTCAACAAGTATAAATATTGCACCCACTGATGGAGCTGCTGTTCAAAACTTAACAAACAGCAATTTTTTTGTTAAAATAGTAGGAAAGGGAAATATTTGCAAGATTACTTATCAGCAAAGCCATTTGATCTTGCAGACCTTATTAATTGTTCCCAATTTCCACAGAGAGAATTTGGGTGGATGGGATCTGTATGATCTTTATAATTGTACCTACCCATGATCAGGTAAATGGAATAAAACCAAAGGCAAAAATAAATAGGATAAATCAAATGCAGATTCCACAGGTTGGTTCTTCATGCAAGTTCTATTTTTTCCTTTTGGATAAACATGGGAGTTTTTCCGAAAATTACAACAACAATTCAGAGTAAATTCAGTTAATGCATTAATAACTTGAGCTTCTGGGTCATGGACGTTCCTGAAGTAAAGGTGTGTGGGCCAAGTAACACAGAACCATGGAATGGGTTGGGTTGGAAGGGACCTTAAATCCCACCCAGTGCCACCCCTGCTATGGCAGGGACACCTTCCCCTGTCCCAGGCTGCTCCAGCCCCAGTGTCCAGCCTGGCCTTGGGCACTGCCAGGGATCCAGGGGCAGCCCCAGCTGCTCTGGGCACCCTGTGCCAGGGCCTGCCCACCCTCACAGGGAACAATTCCTCATTCCCAAGATCCCATCCAGCCCTGCCCTCTGGCACTGGCAGCCATTCCCTGTGTCCTCTCCCTCCAGCCCTTGGCAATTATCTCTCTCCATCTTTCCTGCAGCTCCTTCCCAACACAACCGAAGCCTGGCCCTTGCCATTACAATGTGAATGTTTCACATTGTTAATTCACTTCAGCTAAAAAGTACGCGGTGAATGCTGTGGCGTTGATGGAATTTCTGCCTAAACCTCTCTGACAGAAGTTTGGTATTTCCACTATTTTCAAAGACATATTGGGACTGTCAGAGGCACTAATAGCAGCAGTTGTCTCAGGGCGCATAACTTCCTGCACATGTGTCTGCATTAATGAGGGAATGTTTGCACTCAAGAAAGCAGATTTTTTTTTCAGCCTTTGTTGTGGGATCAAGAAAGATGCTCTGGATGTTCCAGCTGTTCTGGAAGGGATCTTTCATCCCTGGATTGTATGGTATGGCTGACAATGAGTCCCTGTTCATAATTGTTCTTTGGGCAAATCACAGCCCTCAAATTTTTTGACACATAAATCCAGGCCGGAGGTGTGTTTCTGTCTGTGCAGAAGCTCAGTATTTGCAGAGCCAGCTTTTGTACGTGTGTCCATCAAGGAGCACTGGAGAGCACAGATCCTTTGGAGTTGCTTCAGCACAGCCAAAGCTGGTATTTTGTGGGTGAAGCTCTGTGTGCCCATGAGGCTGCACCTGTGAGTGACACCAAACACCCTTTCCTGCAGTCCATCATCTCCATTTACAGCAGTGCCCCAAGTCACATGTTTAGAATTTATAATCCAAGGTAAATATGTGAACACAAGATTTTGCTAAAGGCTGTTTCCCATTAAATTGATAATGAGTTTGAATTCTCCAGAAATCATGTAAGACAATCCACTGGCTCCACAGTGATGTGATCTCAACTGTGTTAAACTATTCCAACAACTCTCTTGTGCCCATGAAGTCAAACAAGTTTGAAACAGTATTTTATTTAATTGCCAATCTTTAATTGTGAAATGTGCTGTTAATTTTCTTTTTTCTTTGTTGGCAAACTATTACAAAAAACCTTCATTTGACAGTCTTGGGTTGGCTGAGGGAAAAAAGAGAAGCAGGACCTCAGACCTCAATTTCCCTTATTATAATAAATCAATTTCATACTCATTTGTGTTCAATCTCCATTGGAAATTTGCATTATCCAATCAGAACTGAACAGGTCTCTCAGGGGCGATCAAGTGTCACATAAAAATTCAACAGGAAATTCATGCAATAAATCAGTAAAAGTACAACTCATATATGGAGATTTTAAACCCATCTAAATTCTATTAAAAACCTGTAAATCCTATTTTAGACAAGAAGGAAACTTGGGAACTGTAACATCCCTAAGAGGCTCCTCAAAGTGCACATACTAATATTTAATCATTTATCCTTTTTGTATGTCCAAATTAAGTAGTTTGACTGAAGTGAGTACAGCTTTCATTTCTACTTCTGATGAGGAATAGTTCATAGAGACAACATCATATCATCATAATCTTCTAATATTTAGCTGGTAAAAATATATTCTGTAAGTTGTAGGCAACTTTTTATCCTGTTGAATTAAAATTTGAAATATATTTAATGGAAGAAGGGTTTATGTGAGTCACAGTGGCTCCAGACACAGCTTCAGGTCACTTGGGCATGTGTGAGTATGTGTTCTGTGAAAAAAAAGAGAGGCAACAGGAGGGATGGAAAGCAGGAGGAAGCAGAGAAATGGCAATGGGGAAAGGCAAAGCTGTCTGCAGTGGAGGAATTAGTAAATTCCTGGTGATGAAATTTACATTTTCTGCTTTGAAATGAGAAAAAGATGTGTAGTAAGGGTGAGCTTCTTGCAGTTCAGCAGCAGACAAAGGGAAAAAGAGAGCATTAGGTCTGATTGATTGATTGATTGATGATTGATTAAAAAATCAACAGTCAGTGCAGAAGCAGGAGTCAGTGAGGCACCTTCAGTCCTATCCAGCTCCAGTTCAGGGGCACAACTGCTCTGAAATCATTTGCTGTCCTAACTGCTACATTTGATCTTCTGGATTTCTAGGATGTTTCTCATCTGGTGGAAGAATTCATACTGAAGCAAGAGACAGAAGCCTGGAATCTTTATTTGATATCAAAAAGTAATGCTGGAAAAACTGCACTGAGGAAAGAGTCTTCAGAGACATTTGAAACACTGTATGTACTTCATATTTAATTAATTTGACTGATACACTTGCAGTTGGTGTCTGTGATAAAGCAATTTCTTAAAGCTGTAAATGTGGTGTTGAAACAAGATAGGAGAACCAACCAGAAACCCACTGTATATAAGTGATTGCATAATAAATGGCTTGCTTTGAAAAATGACATAAAACCTCCAATATTTATATATTTTAGAAGGGCTGAGCTAAAATTTAAAATTATATTGGAAGACGCACTTTTGGTTAAAACATTTTATTTGGACTAATTTAAACCAGTTTTATTTGAAGGTCGACCTTAACATTAGGTATAATTAACCTTTGGTTAATTATAATTAACCAAAAATATAAATATATATATTATAAATAAATATAAATATATAATATATATAATATATTTATATATATTATATATAATATATATATTATATATAAAAATATATAATATATAATATAAATATAATTAGGTATAATTAACCTTTGGTCTGTGTGTTTTTGCATCCCTGAGTTTCAATAACTTGAATGAGTTTCATTTTCACTTTAAAAGAAGTTGTTCTAGGGGAGGCTCATTGTAGCTGGCACATTGCTGCTGCCCACATTTCTCTGATATTTCCTCAAAACATGACTCACACTTAATCAGAAAAGGCAGGGTGTCTTTATTGCTTTGGATTGTTTTAGGGAAAGCAACAGATGGTGGTATTTGAGCTGTCCAGATATAGAAAACATGGCCTTGCACCATCAGGCTGTCTTTGCATCTTGTTAGCCTTTTTACAGACATAATTCAAAATAATTAGGCAAGTATTTAAGGTCCTGCCTAAGTAGCAAAGTGGATCAATAATGTGTGCTTGAAGTTATCCATCTGGTTGGAAGCTTCCTGAAGTTAATATTATATGGATGAACCCTTCCACTTTTGACAGAAGATGAGTTTTTATCTTCCGCATCTGTTTAAATCTGTCTGCAGTTAGCACCAGGCAGGACTAACACTTTACTTATTTAGGGAAGGAAATTTAAGCTTTAGAAAATTCTAGTCTGAGGAAATGAAATCTGTCTCATTCTCATTAAGACACATTCCATTTCCTTTTTTCTTTTCTATTCTCTTATTTGCCCTTAAAATTTCTCTGAAGAAAATTAAAAAACCATATATTCTTGCTTATGACTATAGGAAAAACTGTGTTGAATCAAATATTCTTGGGTTTGGGGAAGTTTCTTGGCTGATAAAAGGTGCTCACATTAATCAGATCTGTTATACAGTGTGAGGGTGTAAAGACATGTAGGAAGTAGATCTTAATTCTACTTAATGCTTATGCAGATGAATTGGACCAAAGCAGAAATTGTAGAGGAACACAAATTAATGCTTCGTTTGTTATTGTATCACTCTTGTAACAAGCTGATGTGAGAGATCAGAATAGCACAATTCAGATTTATTTACAGTCTCCTCACTTTATCACTTGGTAATACAATAAATAGAATTGGGGGGGGGGTTTGTTTAAACCACAGTTTGAAGTGTTTACAATAAAGCTCCTTTTTTCTTATCTCATGCTGTGAATGAAAGTCTACCAAGAGTGATAAGAAAGTTTTGTTAATTAGAATCTGTTCACATATTTTTTAAAAAGTGTAGTCATGGGTAAGAGTCATGGGAGGTTTGGGTTGGTGCTGATTATATTTCATACAAATAAAGAATCTGTGGTGGCATTTTAGAATTGGAAATATTACTTTTTCAATAGAAATACTTTTTTTAGGGATTTTACCAAAAGCCCCCTGTTTTCTGTGTACATATAGATGTACACTGGGGAAAAAACAGGAAAAGCACAGCTCACTATGAAAGAATGCTGGGGTAATATCTTTTCAATGCTTGCTGGCTTTAGAAATCCTCTAATAAATTACAAAGTAATTTAATCATACTCCATTGCATGCTCTTGAAAGAATAAGACTTTAGATCCAGGCTGTCTCCTGCTCAGAATGCAATGATGTTGTGTATCACACACACAAATTGCGCACATGCAAAATAATGGCCCTGAGGCTGCCCAGCAGTAGTAGATAAGGAGTACATGCTTACAACAAAGTGCACATTTTATTAGAGACTGAGAAATGTAATTTGACTCCAGCACACAGAAAAGTTGTATGGTGATTTTTCAAAATTTTTTGGGGCAGGCTGAAATAACTTGTTTTGAAGTTCTGGTATTGTCAACAAAATTAACTAATTTGGGATTGGCTTCTTAATTCCAGTTGATAAGAGCAGCACAAATGAATTTTCTCCACCTTGCTACTTCAAGATAACTTGGGCATGGAGAATCGTGGGGAGGGGTGGCTGTTTGTGGGGTCTGAGCAGCCCAGAGCCCAGGTCTGGTCTGGCTGAAGGGTGGAGAGTGTGCTTAATAATCCAGTTTTCAACCAAACTAAAGCAATGACCAAAGCACTGTTTGTTTGCTTGAATTACCAGGACTGAGGATGAACAATTTTCTTTCAATGTGCACCAGATGTTGTTGCTTTTTCGAGTCCCTGACAGCCATTCTGCTGTGAAATACTCCATCAGGGCTGGATCTCTTTCTCTAGCAATTTGTTCTTCCCAGAGTCAAGATTTTTACTGTGGCTTTATGTCATTCCTAAGGAGAGTTTTGGGTTTAGTCACATAGGTTTTGGGGAAAAAAAGTTCCTAAAGTTTACATTTCTTTAAAAGAATGCACTAAATTGCTTGAGCCCCAAATTTGGTTATTTGGTGTGACTTTTTCATATAGGCAAAAATAGACACACAGATACAAAATAATTCCTATATATGGAGCCCAAATTGCCTTTTATGCCACCACACATTCAACATGGGAGACAACAAATCATTGTATTACATGAATAAAATCTTCTTGGCAGTTCATTGGGATTTTATGCATGTAAAAATATTTGATCATCTGTGTTCATTTTCATTTTAAAAATGGAGTTCTTGTGAAGATGAGAAAATTTCTAAAATAATCAGCTTGCTGTCCTCTAAAGTTCCTCTCAAGCAGACTGCTATGTTGCCTGATTAATGTTGAACTTTCATGGTTCTATAAGGCAAAGAGACATCTTGTAGAATGGGAGTTACTTTTCAACCATCTGAGCTAGAAGAAATGAAAAGAACTTGTTTTTTGTGAGACATTCAGATTGGCCATCTTTTCATCTCAGAAAGCAAGGCATAATTCCATCTTCCCAAAGTTTTCAAACTGATTCATTAGAAGGACAGGCTTTAATTAATTTAAAATGCATTTCATGTTTGCTCAGCTATTAAATCTGAGATATTCTGAAGACCGTGGGAAAATGCCCACTTAAGACTAAAATTAGCTGGTATCACTCTTTGTTCCATCTGTGTTCTATTTGATTGCCAGGATGGGGAAAGAAAAGAGGTAGAAGGTTAGGAGTGGAAGCACTTATAAAAAGCAGTAATTATTGACCTTGGTGGTGTGTCAACAGCATGTTCATCTGCTCCTGAGAAGAACCAAATGTTCGGGACGACTCCAAGCCACTCCTGTGCTGTTCCCACCTCGGCAGGGAAATCACAGGGGGAGCACTGACAGAGGGATCCCAGCTCTCCTTCGCTTGTGCTGCTGCTCAGAACTCCTCCTGGGCCTCATCTGCAGACAGTGCTGCACTAAAGGCATCTCCAGTGCAAATGGCTTGTCCTTCACCCTTCTGCAGAGCGGCTGTGTGACCCTGGGTGTACTGGCAGTGACAGCAAAGCATGTTCTGCTCAGCACTGGCTCTGTGGTTGAAGGCCAGGCTACTCTGCCTCCTCCAGAGCAGCCCTGTGACCACACACACTGCCCATGAACCCTTCGCACACAGAGGAAGTTTATAAAATCACTCGTATTGCGACTCATTGGATTTGTAAAATCACTCACATTGTAACTCATTAGTTTACCCATCTTAATGCCAGTAAATAATCTAAGTTTATAGGTTTAAGGTTTTTTTAAACTAAAGCTAGTTTATAAGTTAAAGCTTAGAAGTATATAAGTTCATAATATTTTTAATTAATAGAAATGTAAAAGTCATTTGAAGGGAGATATTAGAGGATGGACCAGGTTATGCTCTGTGGTCCCCAGAAATGAGACAAAAGGCAGGGCCTGAGCCCAGGAGCTGCCCCTGCCCATGCCCAGAGCTCCTGCCCTGGCAGTGCCCAGCCCTGAGCAGATGGGGCACAGAGGCTGTGCAGGCTCCTGCCTGGGGACACTGCAGAGCCACACGGACACACTGCTGTGCCCTGGGCTCTGGGCTGGCCCTGCTGGAGCAGGGAGGTGCCACCACAGCAGCCATTTCCAGCCTGGCCCATTCTGGGATTCTGTAGAATCAACCTTCACTTTTCTCTTACACTTTAAAGGAAATAAAATAAAGTAAGATCAGTCTTATGCTATTCCCTATTTCAGATGGAATTCGCTTCACAATATATAGACTAACATGGTTATATTTTGGTATTCCTGAAGTTGGACTTGTGCTAACTTTATTTTCAGTCTTGATATTTTTCTTCTGCTTCGCTAATTCCTACACATTCCTCATGAAGCCTTAATTAATCCTTCGCTTTCTCTGTTACTGATCAGCTTTGATTTAATATGGTCCAATTCCAGCATAGTCCAGGATCTGGAGAACTGCCTGCTGTGATATGACTGTGGAGATCTTAGGCCTGACCTATGCAAAATCTGCAATTTTTCTGCGACATTCCACATAAATTTGGTTGATCTACAGAAGAACTTCAGACAAAGAAGTTTACAGATAGTTTTAATCCTATTTTCAATCCCATTGCATCTGTTTCATTTTTTTTATCAGTATAAAAAAAATGGGGCTAAACCTCTCCATGCTTTGTTTGTTGCTGTTGTCCTAGAAGGGACCATTAGAGATCATGGAATCATGGAATGTTCTGGGCTGGAAGGAACCCCCAGAATTATGGATGCACCCCCTGGCCCTGCCCAGACCCCCCAACAATCCCCCAGGATGATGGATGCAGCCCCTGGCCCTGCCCAGACCCCCCAGCAATCCCCCCTGTCCATCCCTGTGTCATGGTTTGAGCCTGGCACAGAGCCAGTGCCCCCCATGAAAATGCCTTCACCCTGGTGTCTGCTGTGAGATGTGACCAGGAATAAGCAAAACAGGCTCCAACTTAAACATAAAAAACACTTTATTACCTAAACTACAGGGAAATAGGGAAAGACTATAAGGAAAAGAAAAAAAAAAGAAATTGAAAACCTTACAAAAAAACTTTCCTCCTCCCCACTCCCTGACTTTCCCAATCCGATACATTCTCCCAAATCAACTGCCCAGCCTTGGCCCCACACTTTAGTATACTCAAACTGCAGTTCATGAAGAGGAAAGGAGTCCTTCTTGTTCCATAGGCTTCTCCTGGAAACACACTGAAACCTCGTGTGCTTCCTTGTCACTTCGGCACCGCCCGGAAAAAGTCCTTTTGCCGCTTGTGACATCTTCCTTCCATGCCCAGTGCTCTCACCACTGACGGCATGGACCAGAGCTGCTTTTAGGGTTGTCTTTCAAGGATGCCTTGTCTCACTCCAAAAAGGCACAGTCTCTGCTTTGGGACATCTGTCCCCCCCATATTTTTCCAACCCCCTGGGGCCGGGGGGTCCTCACGAATGAACCCTCCTGGTTTTGAGGCACTGCCTCCCCCTAAATGCAGTCTGTGTCACAGGAACAACTGAGTCCATGGCCACAAGAAAAGTCCAGCCAAAAGGCCACTCCAAATCATCTCTCCCCATCCAATCATCTCCACGTTCTTCGGGCCAGGTCCTTGTCTCATCTCATCTCTTATCTCCCTTCTTATTCAGCTTCGAGGAGGATTAGCATTTTTGCAAGGCCCCAATCATGAAAGAAAGGGTTAAAAGTTTTCAGTCTCTGTCTATCTCAGAATGCTGGTAGAATGCTGGTACTCCCACAGGTGCTGCTGCTCCACCGGCCAGGCTGCACTCTTCCCTCCCCTTTCTCCTCAAAACAGCGAGGATCGAACTCGCGACAGGGGTTAAAAAGCTCCTCCTGGGCGGCTGCTATCACATTCAGACGCCGGCTCTCCTCTCTCTCCCTCCTGGGGGGGGGGAATGGCTGCCCGATGTCTCTTGGGGCTCCCCCACCCTTCCATCCTTGAGAGCTTTCTCACCCCCATCTCTGTCCAGGCCCCGGGCCTACCGCATGGCTGCCCCTCCCCCGCCCAGCAGCAGCGGCTGGGCTGGACGGGGGAGAGATCTGACCTCTTCGCTTCGACGTCCCAAGAGAGAGTGCCAAGGGCAGTGCCCTGCTTTTAACCCCTGTGTATTCTCGGAGGTGTGTCCAAACCCCACTGGCTACACCGGGTGCCAGTCTCAAACCCAAAACCTTCATTGGTTTGACCACAGCTTCCCAGAATTCCCACTCCTTCCTGGTCAAACCACCACACCCTGGTACCCAAAGGCTCCTGGAGCTGCGGCAGCCTCGGGGCTGTGCCCATTCCCTGGGCAGCCAGGGCAGTGCCAGCACCCTCTGGGGGCAGCAGAACCTTGCCCTGCTCTGCAGCCTCACACTAAAAGGTTTCTGTGGAAATTGGCCCTGGGGAGGACCTGGGGGACTGGTGGTGGTTGTGGTTGGAACCTCAGTCCCGAGGGAGATTTGTCAGGAAAAGCTTTTTCCTCGTACCCAAAAGATCATGGAGGTGGATTGCCACAAGGAATCTAAATGTGCTTTTACAAGGAGAGGGGGAGTTCAGGGTGGGTTTTAGCTGTGAAGCTGAAGAGGAAAGGCACAGGAAAGGAGCAAGGCAATCTGAAGCTTTCTAAAGTTAAACCTCTCTTGTGTCTTGCTAATTCCTACACATTCCTCATCCCACCATTTAGCACAGAAAGTGGCTTCCTTCCAACATTGACTTTCCAGGTCTTGAGAAACATATTCATATTTGGAGTGTTCATTCTCTACATTTTACATTGATACACCCCATATTCTTTTTTCCTTTGGGAATAGAGCAGGAGAGAATCCTGTCCCGCCTTTCTTGGCTTGGGACCAGGAAAGTGCTGTGAAAGCTGATCAGAGGATTGCTTGGTTTTTTCCAATTCACATCAACTAGCGCGCTTGGAGAAAACAGGTTAAAGATAAATGAAGCATTCTCGGGGAAATTAATATGCTCAGCCTCTCTAGAAAATGTATTACTTTGTTTGCTTTCATTTTAGATGAATATAAAAGGACCTTAAGACATTATACATATGCATTTTTAGTATGTGTGAAATTTATGTTTCTCTATTACATGGCATTCTGCTTCATGTTTTAACCTCGAGAGTCTCTGCTATAAAGGTGGAGTTAATTTCCAATGCTGGTAATTTCAGTGGGTTTGATTATCTATTACATTATATCATAAAAATTTCTATGATCTCAGCTACCTATTAAATATGGACCTGGGTGAGTGAGAAAAAGCTCTCAAGTGATATCATTATCAAGGTAGATTCCAGCTGTACTGATATAAAATAGAACATATTCATCGTGGAAAATGTCAAACAAATAGCTGCTGGCTGGAAAGCATTTTCTTACTATTTCTGGTGTTTATAAAGAAATATGACCAAATATTTGGAAAGCCATAGTTCTTTATGGCTTTTTTCCTGAGGTGACATGTTATAACACCAGGCCTATGTAGTGCTTCCTGCAGCAAATTACAGCCTGATATCTTAAATTATAGACCAAATTACATGTCAAGTGAAATTCAAACAATACCATGTCTTTTTCTTTTAAAAATCCACTACCTGGAGCTGTAGAGCTTTACAGATTTAACCTCCTGGAAGATTTTAAAGACATTTTAAAATCACTAAACCTGTACATTACCACACTCCAAGCATTAAGAGTTGTTTACATCAAAATTTTAAATGTACACCAGCATTTTTTTTGAGGTGCAGGTGAAATTACTCAGTTATTTATCTTTGTCCTTCCCTGCATGATTTCACTACATCTGTGATTCCCCACAAGGATGAAGCATTGCAATCAGATCTAGATGACAGAGAATGAAAGATATATATACAAGAGAAAAACTCTGGCAGGATGAGGGAGATCAAATGGGGAGAGCAATGTCTTTTCTATAATTCTAGTATTTCAGGATATTTTGTTTCCCAATCCAACTGTTGAATGTTCCTCATAAGTATTGTAACTTCTGCCTTTGCCCCAGGGTACTATCTTGCAGTCTAACTATTCTTTCAAAAAGATGTATTTCTCCCTGTGAGCTTTTTCCCTGTGAAACATTTCCTGGTTCAGTAAAAAACCCTTCTGCAAGCTGTCTTCAGAGGAGCTGATCAAAACACCTCTGTTCCTGTCCATTCTTGTCAAAATAATGCTTGACTATGAATTTCCTTAACAATCTCTAAGCAGTTACAGTAACAGTTTAAGTAAGAAAGCACTTTCATAGAATGCTGACAGATATGGAAAATGCCTTAGAAAGGTAATTTTGAAGTGTCTTATTTCAAAAAATTTTCATTCCTAAATAAGTGTTTTGTTTAAATTTATAATTTTTTTATATTCACAACATAAGTAAAAAATTCTTTCATAGCAGGACAAGACAAAAAGGAATTTTGATATAGAAAACTAAATTTAGGCAGTAAAAATGGCACTTTTTTGTGAAACAATTAAAAAACTCTACTCTTTTAAGGTTATGATGGCATTGATATTTTGATATACAATTTATATTGAAAGTATTTTCCTCACTGCTTGTATTTATAGAACATTGGTGCATATGTTGAGGTGGAGGAATATTTTTAAGAAAAAAAAAATCTTCCTACAAAATGCCAAATTTTTACTTTGACCAATTTTTTGCTACAATAGTCTTTAAAAATTGTTTATGAAGTGCTTTTAATTTCATTCAACATTTTCCCTTTATGGGAAGGATATTTTAGTAATCAAGTCTTTTGAGTGTGACCTTAATCCAGTTCTTGACTGAATTAGGGTCTGTAATTGGAAAAGTCTGATAAACAGAACCCAGATTTTATAATCAACAACCCTATTTACTGAATCACTGATGAGCAGAAATAATTCAAAAGGTGTCTGCACTATAAATTGCTTTCTAGATATAAATTTGGATGTATAAAACACAAATATGAGGAAATACACTGCATTTTCATTTAGAGGACCAGTCCCTGGCTGTCAAAGCAATCTGGCTTTAAGA